GAAGCAAAAGGAGTAGGGGACAGGGAGGGAGAGACAGCGCGTGTGCGAATTTAGGCCGCGTCAGGCTCGGAGCAGGACAGCGTCGGACGTGGCGCGGTCGGGTCGCAGCGGCGGCGGCGGGCCGGGCGGGCACCTCTGCACGGTAAACAAAAAACTCGGATTCCGAGCTGGGAATCTCGATTTCCGAGGTTGCCCTGATTCCGAGCTACCGATTTCAAAATCGGGTAATCGTGTCTCTAAAACCGAGTCACCCTTTACCTGTTTTCGGAAAACAATTCCCAGATTTCGAGCTCGTTAGCTCGGAATCAGAACTGAGCGGCTCTAAATCCGGCACTGGATGCTCGAAATCGAGATGATGCATTAAAAGTCGAGAATATGCCTCAAAATTGGAAATTCACTCTTTTTTCATGCCTCGGATTCCGAGTTTTTTGTTTACCGTGTGGCGGGCTGACTCGAAATCCACCACGACAGCACCAAGTGCTGCACACATGGTGCCGGTTTGGGTGTGCGTTCCTGAGCGCCCGGTGTCTTCCCGCCATGGATGTGTTCGACGGTGAAGCAGTCCAGTCGGCTAGGCCCCCAACCCCTCCACCTCCACCCCCTCCGTGCGGGTGGTTGTGGCACTTGGGTGACCTCCCGCCCTCCCCTCTCCACCTCCTCCACCCCTTATACATCCTGGCGGAAGTGTCGCGCGACGGTCGGCCATCAAATCCGATTTTACTGCCAATAAGAGAGACATGTTGCCCGCGCGCTGGTGGTGCGGGTCCACTAGTGTGTGGCGGCGGGGCGGCGGCCAGGAGGAGAGTTCGTTGCACTTATTGGTGCGTCCGGAATGGACTACCCTGCTGCACTACTGCAGGCCGCGCACACACATCGCGCCCCTTGGAGGCGTGCCAGCCGCCCCGCGCCGCAAGGTCCCCTCATAACAATGAGGCAGCGCTGGCAGCGGCCGCAACCATATATTTGCTTCCGTCGCTGCTGCCCGCCCGCCGGGCCCGCCGCCGCTATGGAGGCCCCTTCCTTCCTCCCCGGCGCCGATCAAGACTTTGCCAGTTAGTTTCCTGGCCGCAGTCACTCCCCCGTGCCTTGCCGCCGTTGCCGCCGTCGCCGTCATGCAGAGCAGCGGGCGGGGCGCGTTCTTTTCAATCGCGTCGCAGGGCGGGGGCGGGGGCGGGGGCGGGGTGATGGCGGCCGCGCTGGGCTGGTCACTTCAAAGTTTCGACGCGTTCCTTCCCCCGCACACGCCGCCCGCACCCTCTCGCCCGCGCACAAAGACCACCGCCAGCGCAGGGGCGGCACGGCATTCGGGAGGGGCCTCGCTCGCCCCCGCGCCGCCGTGCAGACGACGTGAATCATGGGGGCCATGGCCACGCAGCCGGGCCTGGACGTTCCCTATATTTTCCTTGCTCGTCTTCCCTACTTTCCCCCCTCTCTCTCTCTCTCTGTTCCCCTTTTTTCGCGAGATTAAAAATTGTTTATGCTTGCGTTCGAGACGGGAGGGGATTAAAGCGACTCGGCCCGCTGTAGAGGATTTATAGCGCTCTGGTCAGCCGGCCAGGCCGCGGCAGATGGACCGTTCCGCCCCAGCCAGCCCCGCCGTCTGCCCCGCCCCGCCACGCCCCGTCACGCCACGAGTCCAGAGAAAGATAATACTTGCGGCCAAACTTGTCCAGGCTCTGCTGCTGCTGCAGAGCTGATCGAGCGCAGCTCTAAACTAAAGGATGGGTCCCGAGGATAATGAGCGGAGCAAGCGAGGTGGGGTGGGGCGAGCGGACGGCAGCCCGGAGAGTCGCCCTCCCCATCTCTCTCCCTCTCCTGCTCACCAAGAGCGGTATGGGCGGCCCGTGGAGGGGAAAAGCAGGGGGTGCTCGCTCTCCCATCGCCAGTGATTGTGGTCTCAAATGGTCAATTTTTCTTGCATTCACTTGCTGCTCCGACGCTGGCCGGCTATACTTCCCCCTCCCCTTTCCCGCTCACCCTTTCACCACACCCCCACTGCAGCAGACCCCGCCTTCGTTACCCTTTTGCTCCGCTCGTAAAGTACGGCCCCTGCACACTGAGATTACGAGACAACTGGTCATTCAACTTTCCGGCCATTCGTCCTCGCCCCCTCCCCCCCTCTCCTCATCCATCCCCTCCTCCCCCGTGGCGTACCGTAGCATGGATACTGCCCCATCCCATGTACACGATACCCTGCAGTGCGTTTTATGTGATACTATTTAGAAGGGAATCACCCCTTCGCACTTTTTTCTTTGCGGTTTGTTTTTATCAACTTCCTAGTTGTTGTTTCATATTACGTATGCGGAGTTTTATGTGTGTAACTGCTTTTCCGTGTGCATCTCTTTTTTTAGCACTACAATTTCAATTTCAGGTGTAGAGCCATGTCATTGTTTAGCCGATGTACCTTAACGACCTTAACGATGTTTCTTTCCTGTTTTGCAGCGCTCTGCGGCCTGGACTGCGGCCCCCACGGCGTCTGCGACGAGGGGCGCTGCAAGTGCCGGCCGGGCTGGACGGGCGAGCGCTGCGACCAGCTGCCCTGCGACCAGCGCTGCTCGGAGCACGGCCAGTGCAAGAACGGGACCTGCGTCTGCAGCCAGGGATGGAACGGCCGCCACTGCACCCTACGTGAGTTTTTCGCCATTCACACTGCGCCCTCGTAAATTTAAGCAGTAACATTAGCGACGGATGTTCAATGAATTATAACGAGTAAGCGGGAAACCCGATTTTTCTCTGCGAGCTAATTGTTTCCGGGGCGAAAGCGGAATAACTTTTGGGCGTGGTCGTTGACGTCATCGGGGTCCTGGCTCATCCAGCGCCATCACGTTCACCCCCTCTGCTGGGCCCGGCCTGGAGCGTTTTTGTTCCTACCCCGAGCTCTGCCTGTTCAGGTGAAACCTGGCCCCCCTGCCTTCCCTCTCCCTCCCCTCCCGCCCCCTTCGCCCAGAGGGGTCATTCCCGAGACAGAGTCGTAACTTGAACCTTCCAGCCAGCAAGGCATAGCGAGCGCGCACTCTCCCCCCGCCTCTCTCCCCGCCCTCCAGGGGCCCCCACCGGCCCGGGGACAGGAAGAGAGAAAGGGGGTTGTGGGGGTAGAACGCTCGCGTATTCAGACACTCGGGGCTCGCTGCTGGAAACTCTCTCCGAACCCTATCGACTGATCGAACATCTACCGTCGAGATCCAACTGATATGTGCCGTTGTTGTTGCTGCTGCTCTGTTGGTGTTGTGGTATGGTGGGGCCGCCCTGCGGAAAACGACTTTATTTCGTCCCCCTTGTAACAGAACTGCCTTCGCGACCGACAGGTCGGGTCCGGCGTTGTAAGCCGATCGGCTGCGCGAGGACGCGGTGGTGACGGAGGGTAGGCGGGAGGGGGGTCCACCAGCCGCGTAATTCAAAACTTTTATCTGAATAGCCCCGGCCGCCGCCACCGCCGCCGCTCGGAAATACGAGGAGAGGAGAAGAAGGAGAGCGAGACGGCCCGACAGGCCGCGGGGGAGAGAAAGTGTTCGAACATTCAACTTGGGCCATTATGGCGGGGTAATTAGTTTTAAAAGGGTGCTGGTGACACTTCTGCGCGCCAACCCCTTCTGGGGGCCACTGTCCTGGCGGGCGGGCCGGGGGTGACACGCGTAAGACTCATCAGACTCAGATAATGGGCGGCTGGGCTCGGAACTCCTGGGCCACTCCTGAGCCGTCCACACGCGATCTTGAATGGCAGTCGGGGCGGGGTGGGGGGCGAGGGCTCAGCCACGAGTCTGTCACAGAGCAAGGGAGGCCGGGGGGGGGGGGGGGGACGTCGGGGGCATTGGACTGATGGACTTGGGGCGGACAGGCGAGGGGTGTGGCGGGGCGGGGCGGAGGGGAGAAGAAAGGTTTGATTTTGGTCCGGCCCCGGTCGACACGGCACGGCACAGAGGAGGGGTTGACAGAGGGGCGGAGTAGTCTCCCAGACAGCCTGCCCGACCGCGCCTGCCCTGCTCTCTAGACGACGGAGCGCGCGTCTGAAGAGCGAAATGCGAACGCAGCCCTCTCCACCACTCCACCTCTCTCCCGCACGCTCCCGCTGCCGCCGCGCCTCTCTCCCCTGAGCCATGCTGCTGATCGATTGTTTTAATCCGCGCTTTGTTTGTCGTCGCTGTGCAAGGCGAGGCGCGGCCTGTCCACCCCTCTCCTCAGGGCCTCTCTCTCTCTCTCTCTCTCTCTCTCTCTCTCTCTCTCTCTCTCTGTTCGCTCCCGACGAGACCACGGCGTGTCGCGCAGGGTCTGTCGCGCCCGCCTGCCTGCCGATGATATGCTTGCTGATTACCGAACAGCTCCCGTCTCTCCCTCCCTTATTAGGACGTCTTTCCCTCCTCTTGATTCTCTCTCTCTCTCTCTCTCTCGCACTTTCCTAGCCATACCCGACCCTGCTTTCCACCCGCACGATTCTCGTAATTATCGAAAACCAATTATTGATACGGCCCACTCCATTCCTCTCTCCCGACCAACTCCCGTTCGCCTGTTTCCTTTCTATATCCCTGCTCTCTTTTCTCGTCCTCGTCCCGTCTATCTCTCTCGCACTCCCCTCTCACCTCGCTCCCCTCTACTCTCGCTTTACTCCCTCCCTCTCCCTCCCTCTCTCCCTCCCTCCCTTCCTCCCTTCCTCCCTCCCACGGCCATGTAGGGCGGAGCGCGGCGGCAGAGGTGTGGGGCGAAGGCCGCCGAAAAATGGCCCTGGATAAAGGTGGTTGGCGACAATGGCGCTGCCGGGGCCACGGGGCCGGGCCGGGCCGACGGCCCTTCTTGGAAGCGGAAAGAATGCCCGGGCGTTGTCGCCATGGACCCACAACGGGGACGTCGGGGGGCGGGGGCGGACGGGGGCGGCGGCAGCTTACCAGAGCGGCCCCCCTCCCCTCGACCCGGCTCGTCCTCGCTGCTCGTCCAATCGCTCGCCGAATGTCCGACTTGGGAACAGATGTTGGCGGATCACTCACGTACGCACAGTGGCGTAGGCCTGGGGTGAGAGGAGAGAGGGGCCGGGAGAAACGCTCTCGAGCTTTAGTGAGATGGAGCAGAGAAGGGGCGGAAAATAAGGGGGAGAGTTCCACATCGTGACTGTGCGTAGGGCTGGAAATTTCCGAAAATTGCTCGAAAATTCCCCAAAAATAAAGTTCCTTAAACTTTCCAGGGTTTTCAACCCAACAGGCGTGCGAGCCGTGGCGCGTGGGGCAGCGGCTCGCGTGGGGTAATTTCCTTATTAATTGATGGAACGGCCGTGTCGGCGTTAAGGGCGCTCTGGGGACGTCCGGTTCCGGTCCGTCCGCGTACATCCGACCCCGCGCCCCGCCCCGCCACGCGCCGGCCGGGAGGGGGAAGGGATTGTCACCACGGAGGTGATTGATCGTCCTCATCTCGCGCACGGCTCTAGCGGACCGCGAGCCAGCCGGGGGGAGCACGGGGCTCCGCGGCCAGGAAGGGGCTGCTGCTCGGGCGGACCCGCAGCCACTCCAGCGCGGCGGCGCTTAGCATTCCGTGCGGTCGACTCCAGCTCAAGGCTCAAGCAGGGGGGGCACAAGAGATGCTCGCCGACCAGAACGCCTAGAATGTCGCTCCAGAATGTCACCGCCACTGACTCCACAACGCCACTGACTCCACGACGTAGCTGAACTGACTCCACAACGTCACTGACTCCACAACGTCACTGACTCCACAACGTCAGTGCCACTGACCCCACAACGTCACTGCCACTGACCCCACAACGACACTGACTCCACGACTCCACGACGCCGCTGACTCAATGACGTCGCTGACTCTAGAGCGTCACTGATTCTAGCACACATCACCTTAACTCCAGCGTACCATCGCAAACATCACCACAATGACTTGACCACGCCATGCACTCCAGTGCGTCGCAAACTCTACAGCGAACCCGTTGCCAACTCCAGAACGAGTCACCATGACTCCAGCACACCACTGGCTCAGGCTCAGCGGTTTGCCTCGAGCAGGGCACACCACCGCCTCATGGCACGCCGCTCCCTCTCCGCGGTCGTGTTCTGCGTGTCCCGGAAGGCGGGCAGACACAGACGACTATTATGAGGCCAGAGGCTCCTTGGTGAAATGGACACTAAATAATGGCTTCCGCGCGCGCAGTGTGACGGCGGCGCCCGGGACTGCAAACTTTTGGTGCGCGAGGCGAAAGGCGAGGCAGGGGGGCCCCGCTCCTCTCTGTGTCTCTCCCTCACGCGGTCCCCGTGGGTCTCCCTCTCCCAGCCCCGCGCGTCGAGGATTGTTTTATACCGGAGGGGAGCGCCGGCCTGCGCGGCCTGCGCGGCCTGCTGTGCCCGGCCTACACATAAAGACACGGATTACTCCCTCTCCCGGCCCGCGCCCGCGCGCTGCTTTTCCTGCCATATTTTTTCTCCTCCATGAAATACTTCTTTTATTATTTTTATTTTAATGTCTTTCGGCGGCGGTGGCTCTAATCCTCTTTCGGCGGTGCGCGGGCGCCACCACCGTGCGCCTGGCCTGCGCCGCGCGCCGCCTCCAACCTGCTGCGAGCCCCAGCGCGCGCTGCTGATCGCCGTAAAGCTGAGGACCGACGGCCAGAGGTTCCCCCGAGCTGCTGCGGTGTGGGGACAGTTTTTATTTTCACAAACTTTTCGGGCGAAAAATTTGAATATTTCGTAGCCGCCCCTCGCAGCTGAACGCGCGCACAGCAGCGTTGCGCTGGTCGCTTCGGCGCAAGCGCCTCGGAGGTAGGCAGCGCTCCTGCACGAGTGTGGGCGCGTTGCCTACCCAGCCGGGCGCCCAGCCGCTCGCTCCGCACAGAGAAACTGTGTTCATAATCTACCGTAAATTTACAAAACTGCGTCATGCCCCACACGAACAATTTATGTAAGAATTCTTACATGTACCAGGTGGCTGACTCACGCCGCGCACTTTCCCAGTTATACTATACCGCACTCGTGCGGGCGGGTCGCCTACTCGCACGGGGCTATAATGAGCCGTGGGCAACGAGCATAGGCAAACCCGCACGCACAAGTGCATGACGCGGTACAGTATAACTGCGAAAGTGCGTAGGTAAATGAGCCACCTGGTATATGCAAAAATTGCGCACAAGCAAAAAAACTAATCTTACATTTTTGATTTGCAAAAACTTTTATCTGACGAACTTGGGGTTCACCAAGACAGCCTTCAAGGCAACGTTTGTGCACGAGCGCGTTGCCTACCCGGCCGGGCGCCCCGCCTCTCGTTCTGGTGTGAGCGCCTAGTAGGTAGGCAATGCTTGTGCACGTGTGCGGGTGCGTGGCCTACCTGGCCGGGCGCCTCGCCTCCCGCGCCCCACAGCGCGCGCACTGCGGGCGGCGCGTACCGCGGCGTACCAAGGGCGGAGGGCACTGGGGGGTAGGAAGGGGGAGGAGGAGGGGGAGGCCCCTGGGTAGGTGAGGCGGAAGCGACGCACCGTGTATCACCCCTCCCCCCGCCCCTCCCCGTGGGGCGACCCCTGGCATCGTGACAGCGCCCCATCCTTCTCTCCGCGCCCCGCGCTGCCGCCGCTCCACCCTGGGGTGGCCGCCGCGCCCCGCCACGCCCTGCCGCGCCCCGCCGCGCACCGCCCTGCCCCGTAATAAATGCACGTGTCATTT